TGAGTCAGACTACGTCAGGCTAGGGCTGACCAGGTTCTCCCAGAAAAATTTGCACACACAGGTTTACACACAGACACATACACACTCACATATAGGAAACACAAAGGTCCACACAGGAGAAATTTTCTTTCATACATTGAAATTCAAAGCCACTAAGCCTGCCGATGGTACTTTAAAAGGGTGTCAGCCTGACTGGCGGAGGCCCAATATTTAATTAAGAGGCAAGACAAAACTGAGGTTTTGGTGTCTTTATTGAACTCCAGCTTGTGCAGACCAACACCTTCTTCCACCAAAAAGAACAAACGGCATTTTATACCAAACTCAATTAAGGTGAGATGAAGGAAGGAACCATGAAGAGGGATTATTGATATGATTATTATTGATGTTTTATTGTTATCTCCCTTTTTTCTCCTTTCTTTCATCTTTTCTCATTTTTTCTGTTTTTCCTTTCCTGTTCTACTTACACTGCAGTGACCATATAATCTCTAATCCTCCCTGCATGAATTATAATAAAGCTATTTATATGCATAAATCCAGCAGAACAGTATGGCGATAACCATACTGCTCCACTTGTGAAAGCAAAATCTGTTGGGCTCTCTTTGGCATCAAGACAATTATCCTTATTGCCACATCGCCAGACAGGACACTGTTAAAAAAAAGGGGGATTATTATGAAAAAGAAGCAAAATTAATGTACATACAAACCTAAACCAAAACAATAAACTATACACCCAACGTAATATTTACATACATACAAATCAATACAAAACAATCTAAAACCAATCACAAAAAACCATTGAATTTAATACCACTCAACCAAAACTATCCTCCTGATCAGTTTGGCTTGCTTCAAGTGCATCGCAGCGCCTGGAGCACTTCTACATTTTTCTGCCAGCCCTGCTGACGAGCCAAAAGAAAAGGTAACAGAAACTGAGGAAAAATAATTGACATTCATGTTTACACTTCTTTGCACAGGCAGGATAGACATTCTTTCTGCTTCAAAATAATGCATGTAAAACTGTCCAAACAGAACTACAATAAAGAACTCAAACTACCAAACTATTTGTTCAAACTTAATACTACATAACACAGAATCATTTATCATATTCCATGGGGTAATGAGACTCCTGGTCCCCATAACAAAGGAGGAATCAGTGCTAAACTATTTATTTGTAAAAAATTAAAAAACTTTTTATCAATTTCAATGGGGAGTTAATAAGAATAAACAAAAAATGCAGTTGTGACTTTAGTTTGCTTTAATGAGCTGTAGGGCTCAGAATAGTTTTAAAATGTTCCTTAGATTATCCATAATTCAAATTTTAGAATGCATAAATGTTTTCTTAATATCTCTAGGTTTTTACAGCTTCAATGATCATTGAACAAGATTATTCTGTATTAAATGTAATGGTTGGAGTTTATAATCAGAACAATGAGCTAAAACAACCACAGGATGACAGGAAGATTTCATCTGCCAGGCATTGAAAGGTTAAACATAGTTGATGTTTAAATGTTATACTTTCAGTGGTGACTTTAAAGCTAAAATTAAAGTGATTGTGTATAAGAACGTCTGGTTGTGAATGCTCTTAAGTTTTGAGTAAATGATGAATTAGTCAGTAAAAAGGCAGTGCTGATCTTGATAAGAACAGTAATTAAACTCTCTTATGTGTTGCAGGATCTGGAAGGAACGGATTGCTGGCTGTGATGTGAACATGGGGGACCAGCGTGTGGATTCTGCGTCTGCACGCCATCATGGAGACAACATGGAGACCAAAGTGGACTTGAGACCCTGATTGAATAATTAGATTGATAAGTGATGGAGACACTGAAAGAATTTTAGGAACCGACAGCTTTATATTCAGCTATGTTCGCCATTTGCCTTGAATGTTAACCCATCGTGATTTATGGCTTTGATTCATTTTGATTTATCGTTATGGAGAAAATGGAAACATTTTACTCCAGACCCACAACAAAATCAGGTTTTAAGCAACTTTTGATAAAGAAAGACTCATGAGGGGATTGGTGTCAAAGGTCCTTAAATTAGAAGGTAACGGTGCTTACTTTTTTTTTTTAGCACCTTGCTCAGATTGCCTGAGAGTGGGATTTTAGGAAGTCATCTTCATTATGTACGTGGCAAAGATTTGGGAATGGAATGAGGTGTCTTTGATCTAAGAACATAGTGCATATTCAATTCAATTCAATTTATATAACACCAATTCATAGCACGTGTCATCTCAAGGCACTTAAAGTTCAACCAGATCATACAGTGTAGTGAGGAAAAAGTATTCAACTATTCACCCTAGTTCAGGGGTC